CATGAAGCTTGAGGTTCTTCGGTGAGGCATGAGGAGGAGGCTAGTAGAAAGATGCATCTCTATTTTTAAAAGAGTTTACTTTTATCTGTTTTATGAATTGAAATTGTATGAGAAAAAATTGTAATGGATTTTAGAGCTTAAAAAAGACAAACGAGCTCCAGCACCAGGCCCACAGCCCACACTGAGCTCTGTTCCCTGGGTTCTCCTCTCAGAGCTCTTCTCTCTGTGCACTGCCTTCTTACCACACACTTTGGGGCGCACATTTAAAATCCTAATAATTTGGGCCACAACGACACTTCAGTTGGTGCCATTACTCAACACATTCTGCATTCTTATATGAAAGTTCAAAGCTTAATGCTCTTGAAAATAGTTTATCTGAGTTGATCTTTTCTGCAGTTAAAAAAACACACACAAAAAACCTGGGTTAGTAAAAAAGAAACTGTACTAGTAATTGAGACATCGGGTTATGTTCCAGCTTTAATGGTTTTATGAACTAAGCCTCAATTTCTTGCTAATAAAATTGTCATGTCTTCCTTATAAAGAATCATGTTGCTATTATCGATGTCAAAATGTTAAACGAAATAATGCATGGAATATATGTGAAAGTGCTTTCAAAGTGGAAGTAAAGGTATATATATTTCTTTCCACTATAATCAATTATAAAATAAAATAAAAATTTTAAATGTGATCAAATGCAAAAACAGGCATTAGTGGATATTACTTCTGTATAAGAGACACATTTAAAATATTTCACTTTTCTTTTTTTTACTAAGGCATTTCAATTGTAAGCGTTTGGGCAATTTGTATCTACCTTTTAGAATATGAGCTTCCCTTACAAAACTCCCATAGATTAAAGCATATGAAAAATTCATCATTTGGTCTCTGACTTATAAAAGTGGCAGTTTTATATATTTCAACCTAATAATTCACCTTTTCATTTCTAGCACAGTATCTGACATCCAGTAGATGTTAAAAATTATTAAACTCAACTATTGAACAAAATTTAGAAATAAAGGCTCTTTCCAAATAATTATTTTTCAGCAAGAAGTAATAGGTAAACGTGTTAGAAGTAAGAAAAATCAAATTACCAATGATTCACTCTCTTTTTTTTCCCCCTCCAGGTTTTTGGGATAGATATATGGGAATAAAAGATGGAACTGTAACCTGACTGTGGATTTCTAAGGAAGATTCAACACACAGAGGAAAAAATAAACTAGTGGATAGCCTTCAGGAACGATGTCCTTTTGCCATAATGTAGTTAATATTTCCTGTGTGAACAGCAGCTGGTCAAATGATGTCCGTGCTTCCCTATATAGTTTAATGGTGCTCATCATTCTGACCACAGTGGCTGGCAATCTGATAGTTATTATTTCCATCTCACACTTCAAGCAACTGCATACCCCAACTAATTGGCTCATTCATTCCATGGCCACGGTGGACTTCCTGCTGGGGTGCTTGGTCATGCCTTACAGCATGGTGAGGTCTGTTGAGCACTGCTGGCCTTTTGGAGAAGTCTTCTGTAAGATTCACACCAGCACCGATATCATGCTCAGCTCAGCATCCATTTTCCACTTGTCCTTCATTTCCATTGACCGATACTATGCTGTGTGTGACCCGTTGAGATACAAAGCCAAGATCAGCATCTTGGTTATTTTTGTGATGATCTTCATCAGCTGGAGCATCCCTGCTCTTTTCGCGTTTGGAATGATCTTTCTGGGGCTGAACTTCAAAGGCGCTGAGCAGATGTATTACAAACACGCTCATGGTTCAGGGAGCTGTTCTGTCTTCTTTAGCAAGACACCCGGGGTCCTGGCCTTTATGACTTCTTTCTATATACCTGGATCTATTATGTTGTATGTCTATTATAGAATATATTTCATAGCTAAAGGGCAGGCAAGATCGATTAACAATGCAAGTCAGCAGCTTCAAATTGGATTGGAAGAGAAAAACGGAATTTCACGGAACAAAGAACGAAAAGCTGCAAAGACTTTAGGGATTGTGATGGGGGTTTTCCTCATATGCTGGTGTCCTTTCTTTGTCTGCACAGTCATGGACCCTTTCCTGGACTATACTATCCCACCCCCCTTGAATGATGCATTGATTTGGTTTGGCTACTTGAACTCTACTTTTAATCCAATGATTTATGCATTTTTCTATCCCTGGTTCAGAAGAGCGTTGAAGATGATTCTATTTGGTAAAATTTTCCAAAAAGATTCATCTAGGTGTCAATTATTTTTAGAATCAAATCCATAGAATTACAATACCTTACTGTTTTGCAAAACAGCTGGTGGTGATATTTATGAACACAGCGTAATCAACTACATGCATCAACTGCGTGGTCTTTAAGTCAGTTACTTGATTTAAAGAATGTATAATGAGACAGGATGATTATATCTTGCTTCCTACTTGGGATGTAGTACATATGATCTTTGCCATTCTTACCATACATATGAAGCTTTGCAAGTCCAGAATGTAAGGTACTACATTTAAAAAAACTTTTCCTGTTTTTTTCAGGTACCACCATGGATTTGAAAGTGGTCCTCTACTCAGATATTCAGTGGTAGAAACCATAGGCTGCATTGGAAATGCAAATTAGAGTACTTTGTCATATATTTGCTTGAATATGTATGGTTGTGTTGTTATTATTGTTGTTTTTGGTAAAATTACACATAAATGTTATCTTTAAATAATTATTTATATAGCTTTGCTTGTTATATGTACTTTGTTGTTGTTTTTTGGTAAAATTAATTAATTTTAGCTGATTTGTAATCAGCTAAAATTACACATAAATGTTATTTATTAAATAATTATTTATATATACTTTGCTTTTTACCACAAATCCTTATTTATATATATTCAAATTATTTTTTTACGTTTTTTTTTACTGTTTGTATTATAATTTTTAAATATCTCCATTTTCATCTTTTGACTATAGGTATTCCTAATTCTCATACTTGTAGGAAATTTGCAAAATGAAGAAAAAATATCATAAAGCAACATAGGAAGAAAAATATCACTTATAGCTCACTTCCTGAAATAACTGTATTATTTAAAATTCTTAAAAACAGCATTTTTGAGTGATTATATATTTCATTGCATGAATGTACAATGATATCTTTTAACTATTTCCCTTTTATTGACCACATAGGTTTTTTAAAATTCCTTTTTATTAAAAAATAGAAATTATATTAGTTTCTGCCTGTTACCTGCTATTGAAGTCCATGAAAGTATCTGGAAGGATTTTAACCATATTTCAAGATTATTCTTGGTACGTAGGACTCAGAATGTACGCTACATGAAGTAAAACACATTCACTTGCTGGGCTCGAGGCTGCACCAAAAGAGAGGCTGTCATCCATCAGAGCAGGGACACCGGAGGGATAATGAAAGGCATCATCAGAGTAGACAGGCCACGCCCATCAGGAGGGCTATACAAAGAGAGGGACCAGTGGTGGTTTCAAATAAGATCCCCGGAAAGGAAGTGAGCAAACATTCTAAATGACCCCACTGAGCTGTTTCTCACTCAGACGTCTCACGGTCTCTTTCTTGCTGGTAGCACCAGCGGCTTGGATTTAGCTATTTACTAATAGTGACTTATGCTGCTGAGTAAGTTCGAATAAGGCAGCTAATTTTGAATGAAACGAAAGTTCCTGCATGTAAATTTCTGTTCACAAACCTGATGACCTGAGAACCTGTCAAATCCTTTCATCTATTACAGTTTGTTTCAGGACTATTTTTTTTTTTCGTTGATCTGACTAGATTTTTGTTCTAGTCCATTTAAAAAACATTATGAGGCATCTTTTCATTTAGTGTAGAGTAAGGCAAGTTGCCTCTAATCATTCCCAGTTTCAAAAACTCCCTTGACTTTTGTTCACCTGTGAGACCATTTTGCCAAATTTAAAAAAGAGAATAAAAGCATTTAGACTTTTTTCTGTACCTTACAGCAAGTTTCTGTGGTGTTCTTCATTTGTATCCACACATTTAAGATTATTCCTAGGTGTTTTGTACCTTTGGGTTGTGTGTTCTGTCTATGGTGAATGAATCTTTTTAAGCCATTATATTTTCTATGTAACCATTAGCGTTGGCATACAGTAAAAATTTATTTTTGCTTTTTCAGTTGACTTGTTTGGGTTTTCATGAGACTTAGTCATATTATCCTCAAGCAACTTTAGCTTTATCTCCTTTCTAATAATTATGATTCTTATTTATATTTCTTGATGTACTTTATTAGCCAGAAATTTCTAGAGCAATAGTGATAGCAGTCATCCTGTGTTACATTTATTTTAAATTACTTTCTAGGCTTTAATATTGAATCCTCATTTTTCTTGGGATAAATTCATGACTCAGATAATTCTACCTTTTTCACTTAGCCCTAAAGCCCTTATAGCCTGTTTTTATAGCCTGTTTTTCTTTAATGCTTATAATAAGAGATAACCCATAACCCACCTTTCAGCAAAACAAAAAGAAAGACTTACCTTGTTACCATATTCCCACCTTTACCCTAGCTTCCATTTCTTCATGCAGAACGTATTTTTTTAAAAAAATATATCTTCATTGATTTCAGGGAAGAAGGGAGAGGGAGAGAGAGATAGAAACATCAATGAGAGAGAGATTCATTGATCGGCTGTCTCCTGCACACCCTCTACTGGGGATCGAGCCTACAACCAGGGCATGTGTCCTTGACTGGAATCTAACCTGGGACCCTTCATCCCCAGGTGAACGCTCTATCCACTGAGCCAAACTGGCGAAGGTCATTACATTTCCTTTTAAAAGGTAGTGTAGAATTACATTATCCTCTTTCTTAATAAGTTTCACAACTACAATTATGCAAAAGACTAGCAGAAGATTTACTCCAAGGTCTACACAGAAGAGAGTTAACCTGTCGGGCCCATCTAGCTCAGTGGTTGAGCATTGACTTATAAACCAGGAGGTCAGGGTTCAATTCCCCATCAGGGCTCTATTCCCAATAGGGGGTGGGGGGTGCAGGAGGCAGGAGGCAGCTGGTTGATGATTCTCTCTTACTGATGTTTCTCTCTCTCTCTCTCTCTCTCTCTCTCTCTCTCTCTGAAATCTATAAAAACATATTTTTAAAAGTAAATAAATAAGCAGAACGGAGTTAACCTGATGACACACTTTTGCACTGTTAGTCTGAGAACAGAACCCTAGCAAGGGATTAGTTTCAATAGCACCCTCTTCTAGGCATTTAGAGAACACCACCCTAGCAAGGGATTAGGCTCTACAGTGACCTCTTGTGGGCATTTAGCTAACAGCACCCTAGTAAGGGTTTAAACTCAGTAGCGCCATCTGGTGGTAATTCTAAGAACAGCACCCTAGTATGATATCAGACTCTATAGCGCCCTCTTGTGGGCACTTAGGTAAAAGTACCCTTGTAAAGGATTAGGTTCAATAGCGCTCCCTCTTATATGCAGTCTAGAGAAGAGCACCCTAGTAGGGAATTAGTCTCAATAGCACACCCTTGTGGGCATTGACCAAACAGCACCCTACTAAAAGCTTGAGCTCAATGACACCCTCCTGTGAGCATTCTAGAGAATAGCATTGTTTTAAGGGATTCAGCTAAGTAGCGCCCTCTTGTGGGCATTCTGAGAACAGCACCTTAATGGGGTATTAGTCTCAATGGCACCCTCTAGAGGACACTGTGAGAACAGCACCCTAGAGGGGATTAGTCACAATAGTACCATCTAATGGACATTCTGGGAACAGCACCCTAATAAGAGAATTGTCTCAATAACGCCTTCTGGTGGGCATTGTGAGAACAGCATCCTAGTTTGGGATTAGGCTCAATAGCACCCTCATGTGGGCATTATCAGAACAGAATCCTAGTAAGGGATTAAAATCAATAGTGTCCTCTTGCAGTCATTTGGAGAACCGCACCCTAGTAAGAAATCTGCAAGTCTGAAAAAAAATCCTTGTCTCACAGCTCAGAATGTCCATTAGATGGCGCTATTGAGACTAATCCATTTCTAGAGTGCTATTTTCAGAATCTCCACAAGAGGGCGCTATTAAAACTAATCCCCTAGTAGTGTGTTGTTCTCAGAATGCCCACAAGAGGGTACTGTTGAGAATAATTTCCTACTATGAAGCTGTTCCAAGAATGCCCACTTGATGGCGCTATTGAGACTAATCCCTTTCAAGGGTGCTGTTCTCCTAATGTACAGTAGAGGGCGATATTGAGACTAATCCTTTATTAGGATGCTGTTCTCATAATGTTCACAGTTAGGCTCTATTGAGACTAATCGCCTACTAGGGTGCTGTACTCAGAATGTCCACGTGAGGGTGCTATTTGAGCCCAACCCCTTTCTAAGATGACAAAGTTGCCGAATTTTAACCCCTAGAGTGCCGGGGAGCATGATCGCGCTCCTCCTGTCTTTCGCCAAAATTGCCGGGAGCACTATCAAAGCTTCGAAATGGCGTCCAGTTCTAAGTCTGCTTTTATTAGTGATGATGATATTACTAAATATGTCAATGTAGTAAAGGTTTCCTTAAGTTTTTGAATATGTAACTTCATTTACTTGCGATTCATAATTTGTTTCCTAAACTGCTGTAAAATCAGCAAAAATGCCTTGGCAATTTTAGCATAGTTCCTAGGATATTGGTTGGCACTCAAAGGGTTAAAGATGGAATAATAGCATTTTGACATTTTTCTGTACCTTACAGCAAGTTTCTGTGGTGTTCTTCATTTGTTCCCACACATTCTTCTTAAAATTATTGCTAGGTGTTTTGTACCTTTGGGGGGAGTGTTTTGTCTACTGTGAATAAATCTTTTTTAAGCTATGATATTTTCTATGTAACCATTAGCGTTGGCATACAGTAAAAATTTATTTTAGTTTTTTCAGTTGACTTGTTTGGGTTTTCACTAGACTTAGTCATATTATCCTCAAGCAACTTTAGCTTTACCTCCTTTCCAATAGTT